TTTGCTGCTTGTTGCTGGAGGAGACAGCACCTCGGGGCTGTTGACCTTTGCTGAAGTCGCGGAAGGATCTGCTGCTGCTGCTGCAGCTTCTGCTGCTCCTGCTGCTGCAGCAGCAGATGCTGCTCCTGCTGCAGCAGCAGCTGCTGCTGCGGTGTCTTGGAAGACAGCAGGGAACCTCCATCAGCCCCGATGCAAACACGGTCAGCTGCTGCTGCTGCTGCTGCTGTTGCTGCTGCTGCTGGGTTTGCTGCTACCGCTGTTGCTTCTAGAGTTGCAACAGAGTGGCTGCTGCTGCTGCTGTTGGGCTTGCTGTCGCTGCTGCTAGAGTTGCTGCTGCTGCCCTAATGCGTGAATTAAGCGGAGCGAGAAGGGCCTTCTCGTTGGTTTGCTGCTGCTGATTTTGATTGCTGCTGCTGCTGCTGCTGCTGCTGCTGCTGCTGCTGCTGTTGCAGCTGGGTGCGTGGTTGCAGGGGTGCTTCCGGTGGTGCTTGGCGGCAGCAGCCGCAGCAGGTGTAGCAGCAGCAGCAACAGCAGCAGCAGCAACCCCGCCTTGGCCTCTGTAGAAATGTGCGACCCTCTGAGGCATAGCGCGTGGATTAACCTGCCCCCGATGCTGCAGCAGCGGCAGCAGCTTGCTGCAGTTGCTGTGGGTGAGCCTGCTGCTGCTGATATTGCTGCTGCTGTTGTTGCTTCTGCTGCTGCTGTTGCTGCTGCTGCCGCTGTTGTTGCTGTTGTTGCTGTTGCTGCGGTTGTTGCTGCAGCATCAGAGAATGCAGAGCGGTCAGTGTATCTAGCTGCTTTTGCTGTTCGTACAGCTGCTCCTGCTGCTGCTGCTGCTGCTCTCACGCTGCTTATAGCGCTGCAACTGCAACTGTAACTGCTGCTGCTGCTGTTGCTGCTGCTGCTGCTAGGCAACATGATTGTAGCGCTTGGCGGCAGAGACAGCACCGGTAATAAGGGCCTGGTCTTAAAGACGTGCGAGAGACTTCTTCTACCCTTGGCTTATGAAACCCCAGCTGCAGCAGCAACTCCTGCTGCTGCTGCTGCTCCTGCTGCAGCTGCAACAGGTGCAGCAGATGCTCCAGCAGCAGCAGCAGGAGCTGTGGCTGCAGCAGCACCAGGATGTTCTGCTGCTTCGCCTGCAGCAACATCACCAGCAACATCAGCACAAGCTCCAGCAGCAGCAACAGCAGCACAAGCTCCAGCAGCAGCAACAGCAGCACAAGCTCCAGCAGCAGCAGCAGCAGCAGCAGCAGATTGGTTGCCGAGTAGTAGCGGCCGCCCGTCTTTGAAAGGGGTGATTAAACCCTGGAGTTTGCTGCCTCCCCTGCAGCAAGCCAGATGCAGATTTGCTGCTGTTCATGTACAGGGCAAAATCTTCTGTGTCGGTGCGTAGGGTTTAGGGTTTAGGGTTTAGGGTTTAGGGTTGGTATGGGGTAGGGGAAGGCTCTAGGGCTTGCTAGGGTGGTTTAGGGCTGCGGTGTAGGCTTTAGGGTTTAGAGTTTAGGGTTTAGGGTTTAGGGTTTAGGGTTTAGGGTTTAGGGTTTAGGGTTTGGTTTCAGGGGGCCTGGGTGGAGTGCGGGCGCTGAGGTCGGTGGAGGTATTCGACATAATAACGAACACCTGGATAGAAGGTTAGCAGGGGTTGCTGCTGCTGCTGCTGCTGCTGCTTCTGTTGCAGTTGCTGTTGCTGGGCTTTATGCTGCTGCTGCTGCAATCAGTTGCTGCATTTGATGATGCTGCTGCTGCTGCTGCTTTTCCTGCCCGCGCCTTTCGCGGTTGCAGGGGCGTTCCTTTGCCTCTGCTGCTGCTGCTGCTGCTGCCGCTGCTGCAGTTGCTGCTGCAGTTGCTGCTGCAGTTGTTTGTTTGTTTGTTTTAATACGAAGGCCCTCCTTTAAACCTTCCCCGAATTGATGCTTCTCTGCTGCTGTGGTTTGCTGCTGATGGGAGGCCGCTGCTGCTGGCTGTAGGCGGCTACAGCGCAGCAGAGGAGACAGACAGCAGCAGCAGCAGCAGCAACAGCAGAAGCAGCAGCGGGCTGCTGTCTGCGGAAGCCCTTGACCTGCAAGCGTACTTTGCTGCTGCGTTCGGAGAGGTGCTGCAGCCGCTGCAGCCGCAGCAACAGCAACAGCAACAGGAGCCGCAGCAGCAACAGGAGCAGCAACACCAGCAGCAACAACAGCAACAGCAGCAGCAGCAGCAGCAGCAGGAAAAGGAGGTGGAGTGGGTTTTGTATGAACGATGTGGTTTACCTGCTGTCTCCCCTGGCTGCTGCATTGTCGACTGTCCCTCTTGGGCTGTAAGCAATTGCTGCTGCTGCTGCTGTTGCTGCTGCTGCTGCTGTTGTTGCTGCTGCTGTTGTTGCTGCTGCTGTTGTTGCTGCTGCTGTTCCTTATGGTGTTGCTGCTGTTGCTGCTGCTGCTGCACAAGGTGCTTCAGCTCTGCGCAGCTGGCTTGGGTTGATGCAAGCCGGGGGGAAGAGCAGCAGCAGCAGCACTAGCAGCAGCAGCAGCACTAGCAGCAGCAGCAACAGCAGCAACAACTAAGCAGCATCTGCTGCTGCGTTTTATATTTTGCTTTTAGGCCTGGGCCTCGCAGCTGCCAGAAGAATCGATGCGGCAGCACAGCAGCAGCAGCAACTCAGCAGCAGCAGCAGCAGCAGCAAAACCTAAAGGGATGCTTCAGTCCTCTGGTAGGGCGTCGCTGTTGCTTGGCTGCTGCAGCAGTTGTTGCTCCTGCTGCTGCTACTGCTACTGTTGCTTTTGCTGCGGCTGATGCTGCTCCTGCTCCTTCTGCTACTGCTTGTGCTACAACTGCTGTTGCTGTTCCTGTTGCTGCTGCTGCTGCTGCTGCTGCTGCTGCTGCAGGTCGGCGTCTCGTTCCTGAACGGCTGTTTACTGTAAATAAAATGTCTTTTGGTTTGCCTCCAACAACAGCAGAAGAAATGCAGCGGTTGCTGCCCCGGGGTCGTGTTGCTGCAGCAGCAAGTCGTTTGCTGCAGCAGCAAGCAGCAGCAGCAGCAGCAGCGGCAGCAGCAGCACGAACAGCGGCCAAGCCAGGAGCAGCAGCAGCAGCAGCAGCTCAAAGATCAGTTGCTAGGGAAGCGCTAGAGCAGCAAACAGCTCAAGACATAGCAGCACTTCAGCTTATTCAAACACCAATGAACAAAGCAGCTACTGTTGCAGCAGGAGACACAAAGACAAAGGTAAAAAGGCAGCAGCAACAGCAGCAGCAGCAGCAGCTGCTGCTGCTGCTTCCGTTAGTTGTCTCTTTGGTCTCCCTCTTCTTCTTTGTCTTGAATGCATGCAGCAGCAACTGCTGTCCAGCCGGTTATCTTCTGCTGCTGTCTCTTCTGCTGCTGATACTCACACTTTTGCTGCTGCTGCTGTCTCTTCTGCTGCTGCTGTCTCTGCTGCTGCTGTCTCTGCTGCTGTTGTCTCTTCTGCTTCTGCTTTTTTTTGCAACTGCTGCTATATTTTCTGCTGCTGCTACTCACCCTATTGCTCCTGCTGTGTCTTTCTGCTGCCGCTGCTCCCACTGCTGCTGCTGCTGCTGCTGCTGCTACTGTCTTTTTTGCTGCTATTAGGTTCTTCAGGCTTTCTACTCAAGCAGCGCTTCGTCTGCTGCTGTCCCCACCTACCGCCGCTCTCCTGGAAAGGTAACCAACGGTTTGCAGCGATGCAGGGTTTAGGGTTTAGGGTTTAGGGTTTAAGGTTTTAGGGTTTAAGGTTTTAGGGTTTAGGGTTTGGGGTTTAGGGTTTAGGGTGTTGCGATGCTGCGGAGGAGAAACGGCACCCTTTGCTCAGAGCTTGGAAATACAGTCGGGGGCGAAGAAACTAGGGTTTAGGGTTTAGGGTTTAGGGTTTAGGGTTTGTGGTTGTTTGCAGGTACAAGAACTGCGACGTGCCTTTGAGTCTGCTGCTGCTGCTGAGCGATTGAAGGAGCCTCCGGGTTAAAACCCGCGAATTGTTTTTTATCTTCTTGAGGGTTTAGGGTTTAGGGTTTAGGGTTTAGGGTTTAGGTTAGGGCGTTGTTTCCTGCGTTGCACTGCTGGGCAGTGCAGTGCAGCGGAGGAGATGCATTTTAACAACACCTAAACCCTAAACCCTAAACCCTATGGGGTCTTCGTCTGATGTGCGTGTACACCCCAAAGGCGTTTGAACTCTCACCTTCTGCTGCTGCCCTGAGAAGTGCTGCAGCAATTATTTTAAAAAGTTTTAAGGGGTTTGAGTTGTATGCGTCGAAACCCTAAGGAGAACAATAAAATGCAGATACAAAAGAATATAGAGATAGGCTGGCCCCAAACCCTAAACCCTAAACCCTCAAGAAACCCTCAAAGATATATACAAGAGAATTTTGCCGCTCAGTCGCGGAAGCAGCTGCACATACACCCGAAGTTGAAGTTGTGTATACGCATATATATATATATATATCACAAGTTGTATTATATACACCCCAATACATTTATATATATGTATAACCAGTTGTATATACACTCGAAGCTGTGTATACACCCCGAGGTTTAAATACACCCGAAATGCCCAACTTCACATTTGGGTGAAGCTGTGCATTGTACGTAGAACTTGAGGTGTATATACACCTCAAATTGTGCATACACCTGAAGCTTTTAATAAATATCTCAAGCAAGCTAAGCATATACTTAAAGCTGGGCATACACCTGAAGCTGCCTATACACCCGAAGAGCGGCAGCAGCAATAAAACAGGAAGCTGCGCATACACCAGACGAGTTCTTCTTATAAAATTACAAAGCCTTATAATATTTAATTAAATTTTATATATATATTTTTAATTAAAATTCATTAAAACTTTATTTAAAGCCCCGACAACCCGCGCTCAACAACCCTGGGGTGTATAAACACCCCCCCCACTCCAATCACCAGGGCTTGCGTAGAAGCTGAAGGTAGAAATGAGTCAAAAAGGAAGTAAAAAACAATTAGAATAAAATAAATTAATTTTATTCTGCATAATTTCACTTTATAGACACATAATACTTCTTACTACCCGAAAAATAGACCTACATTTAGCTGCCAGTACACCCCGCAACACCAAGGGGGGTAATATATTACTCTTCTTCTCCTTGATCTTCTCTATTTTGTTTCTATTTTCTTTCTTTGAGGGTTTAAGGCTTAAGGTTTAGGGTCTAGGGTTTAGGGTTTAGGGTTTAGGGTCTAAGGTTTGGGTTGTATAGAGGTGGTATTGTGTGCAAATCCTCCGCCTCTGCATTATTTTGTTCTTCTTTGTTTATTTTATTTTTTTCTCTTCTCCTTTTCTTCTTTTCTCTCTAGAGAGAGTGATTAACATTCGCTGCTGCTGCTGCAGCAAACGAGGCGCCTGCTGATCTACTCACAATGGTATGATTAGGGTTTAGGGTTTAGGGTTTAGGATTTCTGTTGTCTTTACGTGCAATCGATTGCTGGCGTTCAAACCCTTCAGAGCCTCCCTTCTTATCTCTCACCTACTTCTGCTGTCTCCTGCTGCTGCTTCTTCCTTTTAACTTCGTCCTTCTGCGTTTGCTGTTGCTGCTGCTGTTGTTGCTGTTGCTGCTGCTGCTGTTGCTGCTGCTGCAGCCTGGTAGTCAATCGCACGAGTCTGAAGAAGAGCGACAGGCTCGCCGTAAGTCTTTTAACTTCCGCCCCTAGAGTCTACCCAACCCCAGTTTAGGGTTTGGGGTTTAGGGTTTAGGGTTTAGGGTTTAGGGTTTGTTTTCAGTGTCGGATCCGGAAATTGATGATGGAGAGGCAGAAGAAGAGGAAGCGGCAGACAATGACGAAAACTATGATTATCTACAGGTACTGTTTTTAGGGTTTAGGGTTTAGGGTTTAGGATTTAGGGTTTAGGGTTTAGGGTTTAGGGTTTAGTTGCGTTTGTTTTGACTTGTGGTATTTAAAGTAGGGTTTAGGGTTTTGAGGCACCTCAGCGTTTACTGTTCCTGCAGTATCGCCACTTCTCTGGGTTTAGGGTTTAGGGTTTAGGGTTTAGGGTTTTGCGGTGTATAGGCAACTCGGAGACTGGACGCGGAGGAGTTGCAAGCGGAAGAAGAAGGTGAAAGATTAATTGATGATAATGCAGACGATGGTTTCGTCTTTGGCATGAAGTGCGCTAGGGTTTAGGGTTTAGGGTTTAGGGTTTAGGGGTTTTTTTAACATAGTGTATACAATAAATAAAATAAGCAAAAGATATGAATAAATAAATTAAATAAAAAGACTAGGAAAAATATATTATTTTGAGTGTATGCATACAATAGAAAAAGCAAACATAAAATAAAAATGAGTAAATAAAATAAATAAATAAATTATATAAACCCTCAACGCTAAAAAGACAAAAATATAATATATATATATATATATTATATTTCGGGTGTATGCATGTGCATGCAGAGATGCTGAGAAAGAAGCAGCAGCATTTTATGCAGCTGGTTTAAACGCCGATCGCGAAGACTCTGAATTGCTTGATGACTCGGAAATAATAATTGATGAAAATAAAGAAATTAAGGCTAGAAGAGCAGCAGAGAGACACCTGAGAGCAAGAGAGAGAGTAAAACAAGCATCAGGAGACAGAAGAGATGTCTGGCATCTCCTTTTAGGTTTGTCTCTATCCTATTTTTATTTTCTTATTCTCTTCTTTCTTCATCTTATTATTTCTCTTTATTCGTCTCTTCTTGTTTTAGGGTTTAGGGTTTAGGGTTTATGTTGAGACATATACATATATTTATATATACAGACATATATATACATATATATACAGATATATATATATATATATTTATAAGTGCTGGTGTTTAAAGTATTTCCTTCTGCATGCATGCATTTGAATTCAGAAGAAGACGAAGACGAAGCAGCAGAGATGGAGAGACTGCTGCAGCGAGTGAAGCAAAGGAGACAGCATTTAACAAAGACAGCAGCACAAGCAGAAGCAGTTAATCTACGAGACCTGCAGCAAGCCAAGGTGCTCACAACTGTCTCCGTCTACTGTCTCCTCTTATTCTTCTTTCTGTCTCCTTTTACTGTCTCCTTTTACCGTCTCCTTTTACTGTCTCCTTTTACTGTCTCCTTTTACCGTCTCCTTTTACTGGATGTTTCTTCTGTCTCCTTTTGCTGTCTCTTTCAGTCTACTTTTCTTCGTTTTTCTTCTTTTCTGTTTGCTGTCTTGCTGTCTTCTTTTGCTGTCTCCTTTTGCTGTCTCCTTTATCTGTCTCCTTTTGTTGTCTCCTTTAATTCTTTTTTCTGTCTCTTTCTGTTGTCTCCTTTTGCTGTCTCCTTTAATAGCTTTCTCTGTCTCTTTCTTTTGTCTCCTCTAATATTCTTCTTTTTTTCTGCTGTCTCCTTTGCTGTCTCCTTTTGTTTGTTTTGCAGAATTTGCTGGCCGACTCAAATCCGCGTTTAGTTGCGTTTGGGGAGGAACACCAACAGGCATTAGATACTCTATTTAGGTTCGTCTTCTGTCTCCTTTGTTTATCTGTCTCCTTTATCTGTCTCCTTTATCTGTCTCCTTTATCTGTCTCCTTTATTTATCTGTCTCCTTTATCTGTCTCCTTTATCTGTCTCCTCTGTCTGTCTGCTTCGTCTGTCTCATTTATCTGTCTCATTTATATGTATCCTTTATCTGTCTCCTTTATCTGTCTCCTTTGCTGTCTCCTTTATCTGTCTGCTTTTACCTCTCTTTTGTCTCCTTTTGCTGTCTCCTTTATCTATCTGTCTCTTTTTGTTTGTTTTGTCTGTCTTTTTTATTTGTCTCTGTCAACTGTCTGACTGGTGTCTCCTCGCTTGTCTCTTGTTTATCTGTCTCCTTTTGTTTCTCTCTTTTTATTGTCTCCTCTCACACCGCAACCGCTCCTGCTGCTGCTGCTGCACTACCTGCTGCTGCTGCACTGCCTGCTGCTGCTGCTGCAGGTATTTTCTCTATAATTTTTCTCTTTCTGCTTACAAGAGCCAAACGCTCGTAGCGCATGAAGAAGGAGACACCGAGCAGCAGCAGCAGCAACAGCAGCAGCAGCAGCAGCAAGAGGAGTCAGGGACGCCTTATTACCTTGAGAAGATTAATCAGCTTATCCTTGGTAAGTTAACTGTCTCCTTTTTATTTGTCTCCTTTTTATTTGTCTCCTTTTTATTTGTCTCCTTTTTATTTGTCTCCTTTTCTCTCTCTTCTTTATTCTCTTATCTGGTTGTATTCATATTTATTTATATTTATATTTATATTTATATTTATATTTATATTTATTTATAGTTATTTATATTTATTTATATCTATACTTATATTTATTTTAATTGTCTCCTTTTCAGCTGACAAGAGAAGTTTAACTGTCGATGTCCGCCACCTTCTATTTATCTCTGATCAAATTATTCGCTGGCTGGAGCTGCACCCCACACCAGCACTTCAGGTACCCTGCAGCAGCAGCAGCAGCAGCAGCAGCAGCAGCAGCAGCAGCAACTGCAGCAGCAACAGCAACAAGCACAGCAGCAGCAGAACCCCACATACTTCTGTTGCATCACAGTCCTTTTAGCAACACCAGCAGCAGCAGCACCATCAGCAGCAACACCATCAGCAGCAGCAGCAGCAACAGCAGCAGCACCATCAGCAGGAGCAGGAGAAGGAAGAGTATAATTGCAATGAGTATTTTGTGTATTTGTTTAGGTGCTTGACGAAGTAATAACAGCAGAAGCTGCTGCTGCCTGCCCCTCTTTATACAGCACTCGTTTATGTCGCTGTCTCCTTCTCAACTGGCCTTACAAAACTCAGCTTCGAAGTCTCAGGTGTACAGACCTCAACACACTCGTATGCGTCAGGTAAACAGCAACAGCAGCAGCAGCAACAGCAGCAGCAGCAGCAGCAGCAGCGAAAGCAGCAGCGGAAGCAGCAGCAACAGTAGCAGCAACAGTAGCAGCAACAGCAGCAGCAACAGTAGCAGCAACAGCAGCAGCAACAGTAGCAGCAACAGCATCAGCTGGAGCAGCAGTCATAGCAGCAGTAGTAGTAACAGCAGTAATAGTAGTAGTGGTAGTAGCAGCAGCAGCAGCAACAGCAGCAACAGCAGCAGCAGTAGCAGTAGCAGCTGTTTGTAAGTATAACTTATTTCTTCCGAATCTCCTTCAAAATTCTCATTAATTCTCTTTCTGCTGCGCTTTGTGTTACTGCTGCTTCTGCTGCTGCTGCTGCTGCTTCTGCTGCTGCTGCTGCTGCTGCTGCTGCATGTGTTGTGTTTAGCGGGGTCGTAACACGCCGATCAGCGGTGCTGCCTCGTCTGCGTTTAGTTTATTTGCGCTGCTCGTTTTGTCTGCTGAGTGTATCGGATGCTCCTCTGCAGATTGTAGAGGGGCAGAAGCATATACCTCTTCCCAAACGGTAAACCCTAAACCCTAAACCCTAATCAAGAGCAAACCCTAAACCCTAATATGAGGCAAACCCTATACACTCATCTGCGTTTTAACATAAACCCTAAAACTTTCTAGACCCTAAACTGCTCAAACCCTAAACTCTAGCAGTCTTTAAACCCTAAACCCTAGCAACGTTTAAACCCTGAATAAGATTCAGGATCTCTGTTGAGTGGTCTTTGTGACAGTAGTGTTTGCTGCTCTAGTGTTTGCTGCTGCTGCTGCTATTTTGCTGCTGCTGCTGCTGCATTTTCCTTTTTGATTTGTTTCAATTGGAGTAGATGTTATTTTTGTCTCCATCGGAGAATACAAAAAGAGGCTAGTCTCTCGACGGTTTAGGGTTTAGGGTTTAGGGTTTAGGATTTAGGGTTTAGGGTTTAGGGTTTAGGGTTTGGGGTGTATGTGCAGATGCCCCAACTGCCAAGGGTCTCGTTTTACGGTTGATCGCCTTAAAACATCATACACGGATGTACAGAGACTCACGTTACAGGTCTGCTGCTGCTGTTGCTGCTGCTGCTGCTCCTTTATCTGCTTCTCTCTATCTGTGTATGTCTCTCTCTCTCTCTCTCTCTCTCTCTCTCTCTCTATATATATATATATATATATATATA